GATTAGAAACCAAACAATTCTAAAAAAGATTCTGAAACTTCTCTATTAAAGTAAAAAGCATAATAAATTGAAGATTAAAAAAAACCAAACAATTCTAAAAAAGATTCTGAAACTTCTCTATTAAAATATTAAGCATAAGAAATTGAAGATTAGAAACCAAACAATTCTAAAAAAGATTCTGAAACTTCTCTATTAAAGTAAAAAGCATAATAAATTGATGATTAAAAAAAACAATTCTAAAAAAGATTCTGAAACTTGTTTATTAAAATACTAAGCATAAGAAATTGAAGACTAAAATCCAAACAATTCTAAAAAAGATTCTGAAACTTCTCTATTAAAATATTAAGCATACGAAATTGAAGATTAGAAACCAAACAATTCTAAAAAAGATTCTGAAACTTGTTTATTAAAATACTAAGCATAAGAAATTGAAGACTAAAGTCCAAACAATTCTAAAAAAGATTCTGAAACTTCTCTATTAAAATATTAAGCATAAGAAAGTGAAGATTAGAAACCAAAAAATTCTAAAAAAGGTTCTGAAACTTCTCTATTAAAGTAAAAAAGCATAAGAAATTGAAGATTAAAAAAAAACAATTCTAAAAAAGATTCTGAAACTTGTTTATTAAAATACTAAGCATAAGAAATTGAAGATTAGAAACCAAACAATTCTAAAAAAGATTCTGAAACTTCTCTATTAAAGTAAAAAGCATAATAAATTGAAGATTAAAAAAAAACAAACAATTCTAAAAAAGATTCTGAAACTTGTTTATTAAAATACTAAGCATAAGAAATTGAAGACTAAAGTCCAAACAATTCTAAAAAAGATTCTGAAACTTCTCTATTAAAATATTAAGCATAAGAAATTGAAGATTAGAAACCAAACAATTCTAAAAAAGATTCTGAAACTTCTCTATTAAAATATTAAGCATAAGAAATTGAAGATTAGAAACCAAACAATTCTAAAAAAGATTCTGAAACTTGTTTATTAAAATACTAAACATAAGAAATTAAAGACTAAAGTCCAAACAATTCTAAAAAAGATTCTGAAACTTCTCTATTAAAATATTAAGCATAAGAAATTGAAGATTAGAAAACCAAACAATTCTAAAAAAGATTCTGAAACTTCTCTATTAAAGTAAAAAGCATAATAAATTGATGATTAAAAAAAACAATTCTAAAAAAGATTCTGAAACTTGTTTATTAAAATACTAAGCATAAGAAATTGAAGACTAAAATCCAAACAATTCTAAAAAAGATTCTGAAACTTCTCCATTAAAATATTAAGCATACGAAATTGAAGATTAGAAACCAAACAATTCTAAAAAAGATTCTGAAACTTGTTTATTAAAATACTAAGCATAAGAAATTGAAGATTAGAAACCAAAAAATTCTAAAAAAGATTCTGAAACTTGTTTATTAAAATACTAAGCATAAGAAATTGAAGACTAATGTCCAAACAATTCTAAAAAAGATTCTGAAACTTCTCTATTAAAATATTAAGCATACGAAATTGAAGATTAGAAACCAAACAATTCTAAAAAAGATTCTGAAACTTCTCTATTAAAATATTAAGCATAAGAAATTGAAGATTAGAAACCAAAAAATTCTAAAAAAGGTTCTGAAACTTCTCTATTAAAGTAAAAAAGCATAAGAAATTGAAGATTAAAAAAAAACAATTCTAAAAAAGATTCTGAAACTTGTTTATTAAAATACTAAGCATAAGAAATTGAAGATTAAAAACCAAACAATTCTAAAAACGATTCTGAAACTTCTCCTATTAAAATAAAGAAAGGGACATTTTTAATGCTGAAGACAATAGTTAAACCTTATTCCAACTGGACGTCAGTCACGTTTGTATTTTTAAATTAATACTGAAATTCAAAGAGAAAATCAAAATTGTTACAAAAATGTGTGTATATTTCTCCAACATTTGGTAAAATCTCTCCGCATTTGGAGACGTTTGACGAAATTCCGTCAATTTATCAGTGGAAACAAATATAAAATAAATTTCTGATTTTGAACATCTCTTCTGTAGGAATGCTGTAAATAAAAACTGAATGCATTTGGCAAATCATTTATACGAGATGAGCGCGTTTTAATCAATCTAAGGAGACCGAATTGTGACTTAATGCAATTTTTGGTATTTGATGCTGTTTGCTCTCATTGTGCGCTCTTTAGTATCTTCCTCGGAGTTTTCTCATTTTTAAATTGTAGCTAAGACACCCATTCGACGGTTTATTCGGCAAAATTTTGACTACTTCTGAATTTGTCTTTCATTCTCCTTCATTGACTGCGTCTAGTGTAATTATAGAATTTCATTAAAGACGAAGTATCATGTTATCACTAGTGCTAACATACAACAATGTTAGATTGAAGCTTGTCGAAATCGATCATGAACATTCTGTTCTGCATTTAATTTGCCTGTAGATTCCTGTTACATCTAACTCGTCAGGCGAGAGAGCAATTATAAATCAGAAATTGTATTTCAATTGTTTCCGATCTTACGTCATTATAAATTATTTACTTGAGTTTCGGATTTTGTCCTTCACAAAGAAAATATTTCAGCCATTTAAATACTCATTGCAATTGTTTTCGTTAAAATCCGGTTGTATAAAATTTATGAGCAGAGGAAATTACAATTTTACGTAACTTGATTGAAATTCTACCTAGACTAAATCGAATGGTTTCTGTATGCTTATACTTTTGTAGACTTATGTTTGGTTTTTAATCTTTAATTTTTTATGCTTTGAATTTTAACAGAGAAGTTTCAGAATATTTTTTGGAATTGTTTGTTTTTTAATATTCTATTTCTTATGCTTAGTTTTTTAATAGGAGAAGTTTCAGAATCTTTTTTAGAATTGTTTGGTTTTTAAACTTCAATTTCTTATGCTTAGTATTTTTATAGACAAGTTTCAGAATATTTTTTAGAATTGTTTGGTTTTTTTAATTAAAAATTACAAAACTGCTTTAAAATGAATTCTGAAGAGAATTTTTCCTGGTGTCTGTACGTACGTATGTATATATCTTGCATAACTCAAAAACGAGTAGCCTCAGAACGTTGAAATTTTTTATATAGGACTGCTATAACATGTAAATGTGCACCTCGTATTTTGGTTGCAATCTGCCGCACCAAACGTATATGAATATATTTATCTCAGTTTCTTTACGCTTATATGTTTGCAAATTGTGCATTTTTTGCTTAAAAAATGATTGAATTATGTTGTTCTTATCTTCCGGTTAAGGTTTTTATGCCTTTAGGAAATCTGCAAGAAGTATTCATACAATTACCAGCAATTTAAAAGCTGTTTAAGTACCGTTAAGCCTAATTTTTTAAATAACATGGCGGGCATGTTTGTTTACATTACAAACAGGATTGCTATAGCATGTAGCTGTGCACCTTTATTTTTGCTTGTAATCGGCCGCACCAAATATATCTACATACATATACCCCCCTCTGTTACTCGGCGCCGTGAGCTCAATTTTTTTATTCATATATGTTGGTAAATTGTACATTTTTCGCTTTAAAAATGATTGAATATTGTTGTTCTTATCTGCCGGTTAAAGGTTTTATGCCTTTAGTAAATCTGTAGGCAATATTTTTAGAATTATCAACAATTTTAAAGTTGTTTAAGTGCCGCTAAGCCTAATAATTTTTTTGATGGCGGCCATTGCTTGTTTACATTTGAAACAGCGTAATAGTGGATTTGTTGCCAATCTAGAGAACGTAGCTTCGCAACAACAAAGATAACGCCTTCATTTATTATTGCGAATTAAATCATGCTTAATCCTTTCTGGAAATTTTTCGAGGAAATAAGTGTTTAAGATTTACTTCGTAATTTTTAATACAGATATTTTGAGTTTTTATGTATTTTTGCCTTGTCGCGAAGTGAGAACTGAATTAATTGAATGTGAAATACTCAATCGTCTGTGAAAAACTGTTTCTTTTTTGTTTTGTTTGCTTAATTTCTTTTATACATCTTTCTAGATTTATTATAGTATTTGAATAGAACATATGGCAACGATTAGATAATTCTTCAGATGATATAAATTTTGTGCATTCTGAGTTATATGAACGAAATATAACGCTGTTAAGTGAACCTAGGGCCAAAGTGTCGCTATGTTAAACAAATATAGTGAATTTTTAAAAAGTGCATTTATTCTATTGTGGTTTATGCGCTATCGTAAGTATATTTAAGTCAATCCAATAAGTTTAAATGAAATGCAAGAAAAAATGCCTAATATTTAATATTCCGTACAAGAAAGTCATGTGGTGCACACATCAGAGTTTTGAATTTGGCAAACCAATTTCTTGCAGTTCGTTCAAGCATTGCACCTTCTCCATACACTTTAGAAATCTCTCGGGCAGCTTCTGCGACATTGGCGCCTCGATTCAACGCAAAAAGGAGAAGGTGTCGAAAATGCTCATTTTTGTCGACTTGACACTCCATTTTAATGATCTGAAAAATAACAAAAATTAGCTCAGACAAAAAAAATCAAATGCTCCATCTTGGAGAGGGAAAGATTCTCTTTCGAGTAACACAAAACGTTATGCCAATACATTTTATTTTTATCGCGTAATTTTAAACACAACATAAAAGGCCATTGCTTATATTTCAACCCAATAAGTTCTTCTAAGTCAGTGTCACGACTTAGGTTAGAAAACTATCTAAATTGTACTATTATTCTTTACTATCTAGAGCTTAAAACTAAATTCATTTTCTAACTGGAACTTTGATCATGCAATTTTCCTTCACTCGTAACGCATCTTTCATTCGTAATATTTATACATCAACTAAATGCCGTCTCTGTCAGTGACGTTTTCTTTTACGAAATGTTTCAGTCATTGATAACTGATTCTTGCCATGTATTTTATTCCTGTCATGTAGCATTACTCTAGCTTAAGTTCTGAATCCAAATATTGTAACAATATAATAAGAAACTGTCAATTTCCGCATCTCTTTTTTTTTATGCTTTGTAATACATAATGTTATTTTTATTAGGTTCTAGATCGGATGACAATAAAGAACGCCAGAATCTGAACAAATTAATACCTCTGATAGAATCAGAAGAAGTCAGTCAAATGTGCCCTTCAGAGAACGTAGAAGACCTGGAAGAAGACGAAGAATCGCCGTCTGCTGATAAAGAAGAGTGCCACGTTATTACCAACATAGCAGTATCTAGTTTTGTAAACGATGGACCTTATACTCTCACTGAAACGGGATTCAGCCGGTCCCAGGTAGGCGACAAAGCAGCAACGCCTGCCTTCAAAGTGAATGGATCTAGCATAGATGACAAAGGAAATTTTCGAAACGTAAACATCTTGACAATTACAGAGATTGAAAAGAAAAATCGATTCAGGCTTGCTAAAAACCAGAAAATCAAGAAGAAGAAGAAGAAGAGAGAGAAAAGTGCAGCTAAACGTGAGAGGAAAGCCACTAAAACGTTGGCCATAGTCTTAGGTAAGCATGCTATTATTTAAAATTGGAATCCTTAAAAGCTTGCATTTAATTATAGATCTAAAAAATATGTTGTTAAATTACCTGCTTCATTTTTGTGTTACTGAGGCTTTTTAGTCCAAACGGATTTGAGTCCGAAGGACTATTACTTTCGTTTTGGCATTTTGCGTCGGACTCCTATAAATGTCGGTTCACTTTTAAAACTGTTGCCACAAAATGTTAGAGTCCTGCATTATATTTTCAGAAATTAAATAACGAAAAATCTGCATAAATGTATGTATATTTCTCGCATTGTGGTAAAACAACGGTATCTAGAGCCGTCCAATTTTGAATGACGGAATCCTACTGCGAATATGTGCATCTGAAATCCCAAATTTGAAATTTGGTACTTGTTTTGTTATCGATTTCATATTTTGTAAAAATTTAACGAATTTTTGAGTAACAAACTCAACGATTTAAAAGCCATCCATGGCAACACTCTACGCGGGGGGGGGGGACATTTTATCTCCAGCGCGTCGAACTGTGTATCGGAAATTCTAAAGATAGTCTCATTTTAAAATTATTTTGCGACATCGCTATTGAACTAAATTTTATGGCTTAAGTGCAAATAACATGATATTTAATAAAATAAAGGTAACACACAAAACGTTAAAAAAACGCCCCTTTTGGGACTTAATTTAAAATCTGAAACATTTCAAATTTTTTTAACAGTTCATAAAGTTAATCCATTAGTAGCTAGTGAAATATTAAAAATCTACAACATAACGCGGTAAAGCGGTGCGTCATTGGTCATCGGTAAAACTTTGTGTTGCCACTCGTAAGCAACACAATGATTTACCGATGACCGTAAAGCGTAAGACTTTTGCGTTTCAAATTTAATCAGAAACCTTAACGATATAACAGACGCCTGTTGCCACTCGCAATATATCTATCTTTCGAATTTAATAAACAAACTCAGCGATTTAAAAGAAATTTGTTGGCCGTACATAAAAAAAAACATTAACTTTTATTAAATTCCTTCACTGAAGCTTCAGGAAACGTTATTTATTACATTCATGATATCCATAAAATTCTAATCGAGCGAAAGTTAAAAGTTCGAAATCGATCAGATGCCATCCTAGTTCTAACCGTGCGTTCCTCAACTAAAACGGAAGCTTCCAGGAAACCAAAGTTTTTAGGTTCCGAAAATGTATAATATCAAAGAGGTTTCCAAATTATTTTATTCGTGAAAGCATCCATTTCCATCAAAATAAACTTCCGATCTATTTTCTGTACTAGCGATATGAAATCGTTTTTGCATACGTATAACACAGTTAATAATATACGTAGTAAATCTCTCTTGTCCTAATGTAGTAGGAATATAGACATTATTTTCAACGGTTACAAGTAGAGCATACGTGCATCATTGTCAAGCAAATGTATTCACCATAATAAATGTACACATCTACGTTATTTAAAACTAATAAAAAATTATGGTCTTCTTAATTATTTTCTAGTTCGAAACGCTGTTTATTGAACAATATGCAGGTCAGTTACTTCTAGATAGACTTCACGTTCACTAGTTTTTCATACAATACACTTTTGTAATCCACCGACAGAGCAGTTTGCCCACATGGAGCTGGTGCTTATCAACCTGTTTAAACCATGCCAGTGATTCTAATTTTGTTCGCAAGTCCGAATGAAGAGAGCTGTCTTTATAGCAAAGGGCAACGAAAGTGCAGTGCAAGGAGTGAAGTCCGGCTAAAGCAGTGTGTTTTGATTGTGCTACTAACAAAGCTGAAGGGGGCAGTGCATGCGCTGTTTGTTTGGTTTTGGTTTAAAAAAAGAAATGCTTTTTTGTGGGTTCTCGAAATTCTATATTATTGCAAACATACTATCGTACTCATTTGAAAATTGATTCATGGTAATAAACTATTACACATATACAAAGAAAATAATACTGTATAATATATAGTAATAGGGGGACCGGAAAGTAATGTCGTTTCTGCGCATGTCGACAACAACATTAGGCAACAAATGCTAAGGGCAGAAGTGGAAGCAAATCCCAAGTCAAGAAACTGTCAAACACTCTTAATCGGCTCTTGGATGGTCGGCCATCCAAGAACATTTAAATCAGAATGGAAAAATAAGCAAAGCAGGTGTTTCAGTCCCCTATAATCTGTCCGAAAAGAACAAAACCAACCTATCAATCACATGCAACGTATTGCTTCAACGGCACCCTACAGATCGTGTTTGATCGTTTGATTAGTGGAGACAAAAAAATAAGTCCTATATGATAATCCAAAACTCAAAAGGCAGTTTTAATAGGGGTTACAAAGGGTTTACATTCCGAAAAGGCGCTTCTGGATAATTGAAGTATTCGCGGAATTGTTCATTTTGAATTGCTGAAACCTGGAAAACCTATTAATGTAGACCTTTATTGTGAACAACTGGATCTAGTGAACCAATCTTTAATCGAAAAATATCCGGCGATTGTCAACGAAAAGGCCGTCATTCTGAAACACCACAATGCAAGACCGCACTGTGCAAGACGAGCACTGGAAAAATATAATGAATTGGGGTGGGAGGTGCTGCCTCACCCACCATATTCGCCCGCTATCGCACCCTGGTATTTCCATTTATTCCGATCCCTACAGCATTTTCTTAGTGGCAACAAATTTGAAAATTTGGATGATGTCCAAAATGCCATCTCGAGATATTTTGCTCAAAAACCAATCGATTTTTATCGGTCTGGGATTGAAATCTGCATACTAGATGGCAAAAGGTTGCTGATAACGAGGGTGATTATATTATTGATTAAAAATAAAAACTTGTTACAGATTTATTCATTTGAATTTAATGTAAGAAAGCGACATTACTTTCCGGTCCGCATATTTCACAAGTGCACATCTGTGCAGCCACCGAGGGAGTGGCTACGAGGATGGACCAATATGCATCCAGTAAATATTTATGTCATGTCACATGACCTTTCGCGTGCTTTAAGATTTAAGTAAAATGGTTGAAAATATTCTGCCACGCAATTTTCTATAAAAAATAATTAAAGCATCGTCGATTGTTTCTGAACCTTTTCATTGCGAAGTTAGATCAAATATGGGCAATTATGAAGATTTCACTACCTGGTTGAAACAAATACAAACACATGTTGGATACTTCGCAAAAATATCGATGGGAAATATTACTTAATAAGTGGTAAATAAGATAAAGAAAGAAACATGTGATAAACATCTGAGTGCAAATGCAATCTTTACATAAAACTATGCGTATGAGAAAAATATTTACAACAAAAATATATGTAAATAGAAGTCAGCACTTTTTATTACAGTCTATATGAAAAAGATGTTCTATAATAATAACCAATGCAAAATTTTATTCAAAGTGAACTTTACTAATTTGCATTCGTATACATTTAGTGTGTTAAATTTCACATTTAATAACTGCTCACTCTTAAGTGCACTATCTACACAAGAAATGCTCATCAAGCAGAGTGAATTTATCTTATTCAATAACGAGTATATTCAATTTATTCACATATAACTTTTAATTTTAACAATAGATATAATCAGATCATATGTGTTCGGAATCTTGCACTTTAAAAATCAAAAGAATGCAGGCACTGAAATAAGAAAACACTAGATTCATTGTAACACTTTCAGTCATTCTCATTTCAGTTTAAAAAAATATACACTTGAACTCTCTTAATCCACAAAATATGCCGTGAACATCAATCCAAATATTAATATGTAATAAAAATTTCGAAAGCAAAATGTCAGCGATTAATTAAACTCAGAAAACGAAAGCACTACAAGATTTCTACTCTTACGCCATATATATTTATAACTGCGAAACGAATGTAAATTAAAACGTAAACAACATACGCTCACATGCACGATGATTTAGCGTCACAAGAGGAATAGCAGCTCATTGGTCCATTTTCGAAACCCCTCCTTCAGTGGCTGCGCTGATGTGCACTTGTGAAATATGCTTCCGGTCCCCCATTACAATTCATAAAATAAGCACACGCACACACACAAAAAAAAAATACTGTGCAGTCCCCAAGCACTGGTGCACTAGATACAACTACTTTCATATAACGGTAAGATACAATTATAGTATTACGATAGACTATTATATTCGAAGACTAGTGCACTTTATAATTATGTTGTACATACAGGAATACTGTTACGCAGAATTAATATTGGAGATAGATGTTCAAACAGTACTTGAAAATTAGTGTGCCGATATACAACTACCTTGAAGAAATATGCATGTTATGCATTTTTCAAGTTTATGGCATTTTTGTTTACTGCCCTTAGCTATGACAGGATGTTATCTAGTTATTTAGTCAACTAGTAATTCCAGGAGACATTTCAGTGCAGTTCTGGATACGCTTGAACGCGTATGTGTTGCAGCAGATGTTGTTTGCCCATACATGCTGGTTTTCCACTGATGGAATTCGGAGATAATAAGCACTTGTTTCTGTGCAATCAAAAATAGAATGGTCGGGGTCTCCATTTTCTCCGCATAGGCACTTACATGAAAGCCGAAACGAAATAAACACCTCATGTATGTGCCATGTCCCGTCAGGAATTGTGTCAGCTAAGAAGTACCAGTGCGTAATTTATCTTTGATCTTGGGAAGGTAATTAATTATATATTCTCCTGCTAGTGTCGTCGTTATCCCAAGAACTTTGCCACTCTCCATCAAAAAGCCCTAGTGGTAGTCCACTAGGGTATAAAGGGCATAGTCCAAAAAGTCTTAGTGGTAGTTTTTATGCCCTGGTGGTAGTCCACTAGGCTATAAAGGGCATAGTCCAAAAAACCCTAATGGTAGTCCACTAGGGTATAAAGGGCATAGTCCAAAAAGCCCTAGTGGTAGTTTTTATGCCCTAGTGGTAGTCCACTAGGGTATAAAGGGCATAGTCCAAAAAGCCCTAATGGTATTCCACTAGGGTATAAAGGGCATAGTCCAAAAAGCCCTAATGGTAGTCCACTAGGGTATAAAGGGCATAGTCCAAAAAGCCCTAATGGTAGTCCACGAGGGTATAAAGGGCATAGTCCAAAAAGCCCTAGTGGTAGTTTCTATGTGCGACTTCGGCCATACAGTATCTGCGTACGTTGGTCCATGGCTGCCAGTTAGGCAATTTCGTCTGCTTTTTCGTTGCCGTGTCCTCCAGTGTGTGTACGGACACCTTGAAGCTTTGGTCTGTATTTTCCGGCAAGAAGAGTAGAATTCTCTAAACTTCCTTGGTTAGGGTATTTCGATTTTTCCCGTAAAAATCGAACTCGTAGAGAGTGAAGACTTGACGCTAAGTCAGAATATATGGTTGATTCGTGACCGATTATAATGCTGTAGTGAACTGCTGCTCTGAGTGCTGCCAGCTCGGCCTGGAACACTGTATTGCCAGAATGTAGTTTTCTTACCCAGATAAATACACTGCTGGTGCCTCGTATCATACAGAAACACAGCTTGTGCCTTAGAATCTTCGTAAAATTTAATACAAAACAATCAGAACTTAATTCGTTTTCGTCTTTTCTATTCTGCCATTCAACTTCGCCAGTATAAGGTTGAATTTAAATAGATTATGTAGATATTATTTAGTTGCTTTACATTGAAAAAGGTAGAGATTGTTTGCCTGTGATTAAGCCAGGATTCCACCACTGTTTTTTCAGCCTATTAGTAGTCTTTCCTCGATGAGCGAACGTTTGGTTGATTAGTCGCGTGTTAAGATTTAAGAGTAAGCTGCTAACACACAATGGCTCGGTGCTAAAATGCCTAAGCATGCTGAACATGTATTTTTCTTCAAGTTTAAATTTAGCTCCCGCCAAGAACCTACAGATTAGTTTTTGTATGCTTATATAATTCTTTTACATGTAGAACAAACTTTTAAATTTCATTTTTCTTCTTAAAGCTTTAGCAAGTGTACCAACCAGTTTAGTTGTGAGGGCGATAATTTGCCTTATAAGGTATTCCTTCCGCCTTCTTAGCATAACTTCTTGGTGTAATTTTCAGCACGCTCGACGCGTATTCTAGAGGTCCATGGTTCGATTCCCGGAGCGGAGAAGGCATTGTTCTTTTTCACATCTGTCAGCATCACAAAAATACCTAATGTCTCTATATGCTGAGCGTAAGATGGCACGGTTCTAGGAAAAAAGCCCACAGGAAAAAAGCTCACAGGAATGATGCTCACAGAATAATGCTCACAGGTATAAATGCTCACAGGGAAGAAACCCACACAGATATGTGCCCACGTAGAAAAAAGCTCATATGGAGAAATGCTCACTTAGAAATATGCTCACACGGAAAAAAGCTCACACAGAAGTATGCTCACATGGAAATAAGCCCACTGATAAATAATTCACATAAAAATATCCTTACATTAATGAAGCAATAATTAATCGATTTGAACATTGTTCACCTATTTGAATTTTCTAAAGAAAAATGATTTAAATTACCAAAACATCTATGGTATATATTTCAAAAACTTTATAACTTATGTGTAGATTCAGTTGTTACACAAGATTAACAAATGGGCCGTTTTGAATTAAGAAAAGGGGAGGAGAAAGGAAGTACACATGAAACAGAATTATACAGTGACAAATTATTACAATTTTAATTGTTAAAAAATAAACTAATAATAAATATAAGTTACACATTTTATAATATAAACATTTAGAAGAATAATGAATAATGAATGAGAATTTAGAATGATTATTTTATTTAAATTACTTAAAATATTTAATTTTATCATCGATTTCATCATATTTTCTTACATGGTTCACGATTACCGAATGTAAGTTTTCATGTTTTCTTTTTTTTTTTTTTACTTCAGTACATCCTGTATTTACATTAGGTAATAACAAACGTTGAGAGGCTAAATCTTGTTTTCAGCCGGTCAAATAAAAACCACATATTGAGATGGCTACAATTAAAGCCAGGCATCATTGGGAGGCATCATCAAAGTGCCTGAAAATGTTAATTTTACTTCTAAAATATTAAATTTCTGCAGAAATTTTACAAATGTGTTGGCTCCAACTTGAATAACTACATTCAAACATCAATTTCTATCGATGCACATCAAAAGTATGCAAAAATAGAGTAAAGAAACAAAAATTAATTATTGGCAGTTACAGGAAAAAAATGTTGTACAGGGACAGTGGTATAAAATATTACAGTACATGCAAAAATTTTACTACAGTTTTCATGCTTTTATTTACCCCCGCTGAAAAGGTTAACGTGAGCATTTGTCCTTGTGAACAAATTTCGTGTGAGTATATTTCTAAGTGAGCCTTTTTCCATGTGAGTTTTTTTCTATGTGGGCATATTTCCTTGTGGACGTTTTTCCTGTGAGCTTTTATGCCTGTGAGCATTATTCTGTGAGCATTTTTCCTGTGGGCTTTTTTCCTGTGAGCATTTTTCCGGTCACCGATGGGACAGTTACCTTTACTTTCATCATAAAATATATATTTACATTTGAAGAATGAAAAAATAATTTAAGAAAACTGGTGGATGGGTGAGTTTAGGGATTTAGTGATTTAGTGTTTAGGGATTTAGTGACTCAGTTATTTTCCTCCACAGTTTTATTTCAATCGAGTTTCGGATAAATGAAATTCCGTTATGTAAGGGTTTTATTGCGACTCTGTAGGCTTTCCCTTAGTTCAATTAACCAATTATTCAAATTTTTGTTATCTTTTCTGAACTCCTCGACTTCTCCTCGCATTTCTTCGCCAGGATGCTAATTTAAAGTTCAGTGAGTATTTAAACGGGTGAATCTTGGACTTGCTGTTACGTGGAGTTGCTGATACGTCTTTTTGGTCATTTAAATAGTGTTGGTTGGTAGTAGGTTGTCGAGTCAATCTAGTTAGCCTTAACATAAAGTGCTAGTGCAGTGCTAACATAAAGTGCTTTAGCCTTGAATTCATTGTGTAACGATTCTTAAGTTCCATCGCAAGTTTCCTGTGTTATTGTAAAGCACAAATTACGTGCCTTTCTGCTAATAGTTGAAAATAGTAAAGAGTTATTTTAACCTTTCTTCTGTGGTTGTTTCCTTTAAGCAAGTGCGTTTTTTTAAAGCTAGATCGACACCCGCATCTACATCAAGAATACCCTTAGTGTTTATGAGTGTGTTTTTGCTTGCATCTTGTCTGCAATGTCTCCGTGCTTATCTGTTTCGCGAAACATGAAGTACCATAAAGAAGGAAATGTAACTCAACTTCAAATATGAAATTATTGTTTCTCTGTTCAAATGAAAAACACGAGGAAAAATTTCATATATGTTGTTGTTAAAAAAAAAAAAAAAAATTAATTTTATCAAATATAGTGCTTCAAAATGCAAGCTTTCTGAAGTGTTTATAAGAGTTCAAATTGTGCGTTCACGTGCACTTTATTATCCGTTAAATGATTATTTTTATTAATAGAGATGTTCTTCATCAATGATTTCATTCATATTTACTCAGGTATGCCTCGAAAAAGGACACAAAATTAACACTCATGCGTTCGAATGAAGTATAAATCATAAATAATATTTCCGGATTGCTTCGAATTTTAATAAGTATGCAAAAATGAAATTCATAATTGTTAGTTTTTGTTATTTCGCTTTGAAAATAACAAATGAATGTTTCATTCTTTAAAGTTTAAATACATTTCCTGCTTTTGTTTTATACTAATGTTTTTTACTTCAACCTTTCAACATTTCAATTTAAAATATGTTATTAATTTGTTATTAATATTTCACTCTTAGGTAATTAGGGTGTTTTATTCATTTAATTCATTACTATCAGTGAATTTGAATAAAGTATTTTTCTCTTCTTCCATCATGCCTTCGTGGTGCAATGGTAGCAAACTCGACGCGTATTCGGGAGGTGTAGGTTCGCGCCTTGACAAGAGCATTGCACATTTTTCACGTTTCCTGCTACAGAAAGGGCCCGCTAATGGACGAGCGGTAAAATCCCTGAACACTGGTAGTTCTGTCCGAATTCCGCGAACAGGCTAGCTGCATGGGTGGTTTTGCCAATGTGTAACTTGTATAGGAGCCAGTTTCCCTTATAAGGTTCTTCACGAAGGCATCCCTCTCCTTAGGGAGATAGCCCTTGAGGCTTTGCCGTAATATATAAACCAAACCTGCTACAAATAACCGAATAATTCTACAGTGGCGCCTGAACTAAATGGTGGTGGGCGATAATTCGTCATTACCAGGATTTGGCAGTCGCCCTTAAAAAGAGGGAGTATATAAGGTATTTTCTCCCTCCTTTGCACATGCCTTCGTGGTGTAACTGTAGCACACTCGGCGCGTATTCGAGAGGTCCAAGCTAGAGTCCTGGCGAAAGCACTGCACATTTTTCACGTCCCCTGCTCCACAATAACGTAATGACTCTACAAACTGTTTTTCTTTTAGACTAATTTTAAATTTATGAAAGATATTGGGGAGATTACAGCCTGCATTAAGTATTTCTGTTTAAATGTCAGTTTCTACAAATTTGATTTTTTTAAATACAGATTATTTCACTGAGAGAAAAAAGAAGAAAAGCAAAACGATAATTGAATTAACTAAGTAAGTATACTTTACAATAATATAGGGGATTTTTAATCGTGTTGCAAAAGTTCTGAAGAGATAACTGTTACTTGTTTAATTATTATGTCGATTCATCACATAGAATGTTGTGATTATAAAAGACGTAATATCGAAAAATTTTTAAAGTAATAAAAGATTTATTATTACAGTTTCACTCCTAATTGTTAAGCTAATCAAATGAAGTAAACGGCTTGAAATAATTTAATTTTGAAAAATGTTTTTCCTCATTATCGTGATTATTATACTTTTCAAGTATTTTTTTAATGAAATAAATTTTAAATATGTTGGGTTGGCAGAAAAGTAATTCCGTTTTTTCAGTGTTAAATAAAACTCAATTTTTAAAGCGATAAAGTCGCTGAACTCTGGTAGTCCTGTCCGGTGTTCGAATCCCGCGAACGGACAGGCTGCATGGATGTTTTCGTGGTTTATCCCATGCGTAAGGTATAAAAGAGTAAGTTTCCCATCGAAAGTCCTCCTCGAAGGCATCCCTCCTCTTAGGCTTAGGCTCTGGTTTTTATCATAAAAAAACTCAACCAGTGCTGTTTGAGGTCATCGTTATTAATGAAAGTTTTCACATTTAAGAAGTTTTGTAAATTTCGAAATAAATGGGTAATCCGATGGTGTAAGGTTAAGGCTATATGAGGAATGAGACATCACTTCACAATAAAGCTGCAATAAATTTGTACATATTGCTATAGGTGTGTGATGCTCGCTTTACCATGGTGGAACACGATTCTTTTGCGATTTGCCAATTCTGGTCTTTCGCTTGTTTCCGCCAGTTTCAAATGTTCTTGGCGGTAAACATCTGATTCGATCGTTTGATTACTTGGAAGAAGCTCAAAATACACAACACTTCTGTAATCCCGCCAAATTAACAGCATGACCTTTCATGATGCAATTTATCTTGCGATATGATTTGTGCTGATTCATCATGCTTGGAACATGATCTCTTTTTATTAATGTTATTGTAGACGGTGCATTTTTTATCACCAGTGATAATTCTTTTCCAAGGGTCTACTTCATTACGTTTGAAATGCCTATCGCAAATATGGATTCGTTGTGCTAACTGAATTTCTTTAAATTCATGCGGAATCTAAATAGTTGTAACATTTACCTAGGTAACTGACAAAAACGCACATCTGTTCTTCCAGTGAATGCTTTGAAAATACAAAATTAAATAACTTGAACTACTATACAGGCTCACATTTTTTTTTTTAGTCCAAAGGCGTTTGTTCCTGAAGGACTATTGTTTTCCTTTTGCGATTTTGCGTTGGTTTACTATAAATGTCCGTTTCACTTTTCAAACTGTTGCCACCCAATGTTAGAGTCTTGCATTATATTTGAAGAAATCGAATAATGAAAATTCTGCATAAATGTATGTCTATTTCTCGCATTGTGATAAAACAAATGTACATAGGGCCATCGAACTTTGAATGACGCAATCCTCCTACGAATATGGGCATGTGGAAGCCAAATTCGAAATTCGGAATTTGTTTTATTATCGACTTCATATTTTGTAAAACTTTAACGAATTTTTGTTTAACAAACTGAAGAATTTCAAAGCGAGCCATGGCAACGTTGTACAGAAAAAACATTTTTATCTCCATCGCGCGAGACTCTGTATCGGAAATTCTAAAGGTAGGCTCAATTTAAAACTATTTTGCGATATTGCTCTTGAACTGAATTTTATGGTTTAAATACGAAACACATGATATTTAGTAAATAAAATTAGCACATAAGTTAACAATACGTCCCTTTCGTCGTACTTTAAAATCTGAAACCTTACAGATTTTATTATTATTATTATTTCTAATGGCAAATTGTGAACAGATGCAGCAAAAAACAAGAACACGGAATAAAGCAACACAATAATTTTTTTTAATTGTAACAGAATTCATTAATCTAACATGTCCCTTGCCTACCAGTAACGCTTGGCGAGATAACTCTTGCGCAGAACGGAACAGTGGAGAAGATGTGCCTCTCCAGAGATGCACAGAGTGCATATCGAAGAAGGAACAATTCTGACTCTATGGAGATGATATCGTAGGCAGTCATGTCGGTTGGCAAGGCGGAATTCAGCGAGCACCCTACTCCTTGGGCCATTAAACAAATTCGGGACAACAATCTTCCAAGACTTATGAGAAACACGATGTTAGAGATCTTCCTGATCACGTATTTTGAAATATCTTTCAATAAGATCCCTAACAGTATAGAAAAGCATAGGAAGAGAAATATTCTGCATGTTTAAAGCACCCTTTTTTGCCAGGAAACCGGCTTTCTCGTTGCCTGGAACACCACAGTGTGCAAGAACCTACTGGAGGATTATAGTTTTCTCAAAGTGATGCCAGGATTCTTAGGTAATGTCGCCAATCCAAGATGTCCTGTGATATGGGATTTTTATCTGAAACGATAGCCAACAGAGCAACTCGAGAATCACTGAGGAAAACAGCTCTCGTGAATTTCTCCAAGTGGCGTGGCAACAGGTACAGACTCCTAAAAATGGGGCGAAAAGAAAAATTTAAGATCACTGTATTTTAACTTCACTGCAAAGACACCGGCTTTGCTAGAAAACTCATTCTACAGTAAATGAAGCACGAACCGAGAAAGGCAAAAAGTATTGGGAAGAAGACTAATAATTGGGGGGGGGGTAAATTTCACAGGAAATGAGCAGTATAAAAATTTCTAATATAAAGAAACTTAAACAAAAAGAAATTTGAAAAAGGAATGCATTTCTAAACTAAAAAAAAAAGACAATCCAAACAAAGTTTAAAGAAATTGTAAGGTTTTATCTTAATTTTTCTAACAGTTAATTTTGAGTTACTTTCCTGTCTTTCCTTAAGTGCATGTTACAACTTCCGGCCAGAACGCATTTTCAGAATCGCGGTTGAGGAGAAGAAGTATTTAACTGTGAAGTTCTACTGACTTCGTGAGAGAACCAGAGTTCGCCGTTAGTTAGCATTAAGGGACCAATTCTGTTAGAATCTTGATAACTTCGGCTATATCTTTTTAGTTTAGTTAAGTTTTAATTTTAGTTTCCTGAGTTCAAGCCCAAGTGGAAGCTTTATTATAAAACTCCAAGAAAGAATCGTCTGTGAACTTTATTTGGAACAATAAAGGGTATTTAACCCTTCTCGAGTTCTGTTCTCTGTCTGCTGAACTAAAGCGATTATTCCCTTACCTGTTCCTAAGGTTCCTCAACTTTAGCGACAAATTAAAAGACAGGAATCTTGAAAAATAATAGCAAATAAAAACCAAAGGAAAAATTATCAGAAAAGATTAACTAATTAATTAAAGTTTGAAATTTAACCCTTTGTTGCATCATGTCCACTCTAGTACACAAAAGTTTAAATTGGTTTATTCTTCTGTAAATGCCTCAACAGATTCCATTCCCCTGTTTATTCATTCTATGTATAGTATTAGAACTTTCAACTCTCGATCACAGATAGCTGTATGGCATCACTAAGTAAAGCATTGCTATTTGGAAAATGGCTGCCACTTCTGTTTCCAAGTTAGTACGATTTCTCATAGTAAACATTACATAATATTGCTTATATTTTCTTATACTGCCATTTTTTGTTCATAATTAGTCATTTTAGATATTTTATTTTTAAATGTCAGTTTGTGTCAGAAAATTGTGGAGTAGGTAGATAAAGATCTACCGAAAAGAGTGAATTGAAACCCCAAATGGACTGCTTATCAAGCCCTAAACACCACTGGAAATGTTTATGTTTGGCAAGGAATTTCTAAAATATTTGACATTTCAATCCAATAGGTACAGGTTACAAAATCATAGCCAAATGAATTCAATCACAATCGACGAAATGAAGGTATTTTGGGGGATCTGTATGTACATGTCAGTTGTAGATTTACCATTGAGAAGATGGTAATGACCACTGCAAACGAGGCAGGAAATGATGTCAAATGCAATTACCGTAAATCGTCGGGAAGAGATTTGTATGCATGTACGTATACGCATGCTGTCCACTGTAGTGAACAAACTGTAGCAATTATTTAAAAAGAAATTTGAATAAAATTATTTTTTTAGTATTATTTCTAAGGTTATTTTAAGTAGAAAAAATACAAACATTTTCGTTTAACTTCTCTATATTATTTGTATGCAACAAAGGGTTAATCAAAGTTCCTTTAAAGCCTTGCATACGACGTAAGGTTATAACATCGCTCCGACCCAAATATCTAGCGATCCTGCGATTTAATCACTCTGTTTTCTTTAGTCCAAAGTCTTTAAAACATTGTTCATGAACCCCTCTTTAAAACATTGTTTATGAACCCGTCTTTAAAACATTGTTCATGAACCCGTCTTTAAAACATTGTTCATGAACCCGTCTTTAAAACATTGGTAAAGTCCCCCTGCGTCAAAGTAACCATATTCCAACGTAAATTTTGTTTTATCATTGGAATATCCTCTCTTTCATACCCATTCGAATAACCCTTTGCAATGAGCTGGATCTCCAGCTAAACAACCATTAGCCACCAAAAGTTGATCATTTAACATAGTCTATCGTTAAGTATGGCATACGCAGTTTGTCTAATTCGGAAACATCCTTTTTGATGCGTTGCTTTTTAAGTTATAGTGTGTGTACAGTGAATTTGTAACTCTATTAGGTGGCAGTTCCTATGACGAAGAATTTATGTCTGAAATCTCACCATCTTGGTAGACACAGAAAGTACATCATGTGCCTCTGATTGTTTCTGGAATCTTAATTGTAAAACGTGATGTGATATATATTACAATTAACAGGTGACAGGTGACAGCAGGGCCGGACGGCTTTCAAAGACTAATCGGGTATAGTCCGGGACCCGCTCCATCTAGAGCATAACATGTTTACAACATAAAATACCTAGAGTTGCATTACCTACACGACAGGAGAGCATTGCATGGCGACATAACATAACTCAGCATAGACATAACATGGCATAGTATTCGACGGGACATAGTATAGAATACAGTCACTGCATAG